CATGGGCAACTGTAATCAGAGATTGTTTAATCAGTCCACATGTGCAGTTACATTGTCATGAAACGTTGAGCAGCTCCATCATACTTCTTGTGTATTACACCTCATGATTACACACAGCAGCAAAAGTGACTGTCTTAATACGCTGTGTTGGTACAGTGTTAAGCACAGTGGGGCCCCAGTCTTATCTGGACCATCTAAGTGCTACTGTCATATAAATGATAAATCAGAGTAATAGTCACAGTAATCTTAACAATAAGTCAATAGTAATAGTAATAAAATGTAACTCAGGCTTTTCTGCTGCTAAATCTGTCCATGTTATAATTGTTTCATCCTCTCACAGCATCTGCCCTATCTGTCTGTTCTTCCCATCTGTTGCATCCTGCCTGACATGTAGACTGTGAGCTCTCTGGGGTAGGGGGACAGTCTTTGTTATTTGTTTGAACAGCGCCTAGTACAATGGGGATCCGGTCTTTGATCAGGCTTCCTAGAGGCTACTACAATAAAAGTGAGTAATAATAAATTATAACTACCCTTCATTTTATTAGTTCTTTCCAATTGCTCAATACCACCCACTCAATCAGATCAGACCAGACCAGCCCAAATATGGAGAAAAAGACCCAAAAATGAAAGCTAGTAGTTCAGGAAGTTTAAAATAGTGTGGGATGGAATGTTGGAGAACAAATTAGGTTCTCTTTGACCCTAAATTTCCCAATTCACTACTTGTAGACTCAGGCATTTGTAACAGTAAAAGCAGACTAACAACACTGCGTGGGATGGAGGTGGATTTTTGGTCTGTCCGATACATGACCTCCCTCCCAATATGAGCTCACAGATATAAGCCCAACCCTGCAGCCCTGGTGCAGGCAAAACTCATAGAGGAAATGCAGGATTGGGCTCCAAGTCGATATGATTGTTCTGACGCTATCATCAGGTATGTTTTGTTGTTGTTATGCTTCTTATTGGACAGAAATCAAGCGAGCATAAGCACACATGAAATCCTGTAATGGCTTATTGAGCAATGACCAGAAATGTCAATACCACGTGCTTATCAGTAAGCGGTGGCACAGGAAAAAGATGCATGCTTCACATTTCTTTTCAAACAGGTGTAACAAGTTAGTGGAGTGCTGTGTGAAGGAGCTCTCTACCCCATATAACGTATGGGTGATAGGCTGGAACTATACACCATGAACTTCACCACCTTCAGTATTGAATATAGAACACATCCCCTTGCAAGTGCTTTCCCCGAAAACCATCCGCCCCTTGGATATAGCAATTAAGCTAACAGATTGTGTAGAAAATGAGGAAAGAAGAAAAAAGTGAAAGATAAAGTAAAAATAATTTGAAAACATCCTTCCAGATGACCTATGGTGGGAGAGAGAACGCATAGAGAGAACCAGTTTTTCTGTATGCCTTCCTAGGTTTTGTTGTAGAAGGCATCAACACCATCAAGTGCATGGTATAAATCATTCAATACAAAGACTCTGTATACACCTACGGGACTGACAAAGGTCTGGAAAGCAGCTGGTTTCCCTCACTGTGATCACCCACTGAAAGGGAAAAGCTAGGAATAAGATCCCGTGGCTGCTGCATGACACATGCAGTTAATATTTGCTAGTAAGCAGTAGTCATGATACTTTACAGTTTTCTAATGTCTTTCATCTGTGGATCTCAAAACATTTTACAAATACCGTATTATGGCCCTGATTCAGGAAAGCATTTAAGCACAGGCTAAATCATAAGTGCTTTCCTGAATCAGGGCCTAAAAGCACCCTGTGAGGTGGGCATCTTTCCCATTTTATATAGCAAGAGACGGCGGCATCTCTGTCCTGTAATGACGAATAATTCATTAGTAATCATTGAAATAATGGAATAATGATTTCATATTTAATCATAATTGTTTAATAATTGGCATGTGGGATTGACACTGGCCTATGACCTTGTACAGTCGTAAATTGTTGGCAGCCAGAGCTAGAAATAGAGTGTAGGAGTCCAGAATCCCAATGCCTGGCTTGCTCTTCCCACTAAAACTGCTCCTGCTCCTATATAAAATTCTAAACATGTGATGGGGTGAGGTGCTATAGACATTTTTATAGCCAGAAATGTGGGTGATCATTTTACTCAGCAGTGGCCAAAGCTCACATGACTCTCCAAACATTGGTGATTAGGTATCCCATTTATTTGATAAAAAGAAAAGGAGTACTAGTGGCACCTTAGAGACTAACCATGATTAGCCCATTTTCCCCAAGTCTCTTTCTGCTTCTTTGTGAAGCACCGCAGATCAAAACTGTGTCATGGGTATGGGTGGAGAGTACTAATTTCCATAAGCACAGTATAAAGTCCAGTTTAGATAATGGTTTGAAATCTCTGTAATGGTTTGGAAAATAAGAGCATTAATGTGATGACTGGCAGGACCACAAATGTGCTTAGGGTGACCAGAGGTCCCGATTTCATAAGGACAGTCGCAATGGTTGGGGAGTTTTCTTATATAAGTGCCTATTACCCCCCACACTCTGTCCCAATTTTTCATACTTGCATCTGGTCACCCTAAATGTGGTATAAATAAATACTTCCGATATAGTTGGATTATCACAATACTTTTGTTCGTTTTATATGGGTGGGGTTGCCAATTTTGGTTGGATGTGTTCCTGGAGGTTTCGTCACATGACAGAATCTTTAATGAAAGATTAATCTTTAATTCCTGGAGACTCCAGGACAATCCTGGAGGCTTGGCAACCCCTATATATGGGGCTTCATAATAGATCCTGCTTCTGTTCTACCCAGTTTATGATCTCATATCACCCCCATCATGATGATATTTGAACAAAAGTGCCATTGCTACTTTTGAAATGCTTGTTACACTGTGTATATGCACGGTGACGGGAGGTGGAGCAGTAACATGCATGCACATGCGTGCGCACACGGACACAAGCTGCTTGGATAAATCACAGTTAAGGCCCCAATCCTGCAAGCTGCTCCATGTGAGCAGATCCCTGCATCCACCCAGAGTCGGAAGCGCTGGAACAATTTTTATAGTGGGGGTGCTGAGAGCCATTTAACCCACCTGTAAACCTTGTATATAAGGGAAACCACTTCAAGCCAGGGGTTGGTGCTGCAGCACCCCCGCACCCCAAGTTCCAGCACCTACACCCAGAGTCCCACTGAAGTTTGTAAGAGGCCTCTGATTATAAACTCTTACGGAGGTTGCACGTACTTACTACACGTACGTGCAGTGCCTAGCACAATAGAGTTCCAGTTAGAGCTGTGTGAATAACTCTTTACTGACCAAACTGACGGGGGGGGGGGGGGGAGAATGTTTTGGGTTGACCCAAGCAAAAAATTTTCTACCCACTTAAAAAGTTGCATAAAATGAGTTTTGGTCAATCAGAAACATTTCACTTTGTCTGAGTTATTTTAACCTTTTTTTAAAAACAAAGCTGAGGTAAAATTCGAACTGAAAAGTTGTTTTGAATAAAAAAACATATTTATGTTTTGAAAATATGTTTTTAAAAAGTTTAGATTTTTTTTTTGTTCTTTGTTTTTGCCCCCAATGGACTCAACTCTACAAATTCCGACACAAATTCACAACATGTTTTGGTTGACCCAAATCTGCATTTTTTGGCAGAAAAAAGTTTCAACCTGAAAATTACATTGAGTTCTAGTCCTGATCTCTAAGTGCTAAAATAATACGTCGTAAATAATAACAACTCCACTTGCTGTACTAGAAATCAGGGGTAAGTTAAGAACTGCAGCAAACCGTTTCAAAAAGGCAAGACGGGGCAAACACCAGCATTTAACATTGAAAAAAACTCTCAGCTATGTTTCAGTAACATTATCTTCAAACAGATAATTGTATTTGTCATTGAGATGGAGGCGCTGTTTAATAAAACACACAATGGAGATAAAGTGTGGGAGACAGAACAGCTTTCTTTTCCTCATTCAGGCATAAGCCCTAGAAGAGAAAGACCTGGAAAAAAAAGTCAAGACTCCCAGCTCTGACACTAGTTTTCCTAGCTCTGACATTGTGGTGGTGTTTTTTTCCTTAAAATTTCCCACCAGTGCAGTTCTGCAGGAGGTAGAAAAACAGCAGGACCTCTAGAGTAGGCTGTAGCAGTGTTGACACCTCTTGTGATTTGATTATGAGTCTCTTGCTAGTTGGTGTCTTTAAGGCCCCAGGTCCTGGAGTCATGTGATTATGTGAGACTCTCACCTCTCATTAAAAAAAGAAGTTTCTAGCCCTGCTGATTGCAGACAAAAGCTTGAAGAAGTGATCTCTATGGGTTTAAAAACCAAGAGAATAAAAAGAACTATTTTTTGTTTTAATTGTTTTAACACTATCAAGAGTTTTAACCCAATTTCATGATTTTTTGAGGCCTGACTCATGATTTTGGTTGGCAATATTGCCAATGTGCTGGCTTTTTAACTAGAGTGTCATCTAGACCTAGGGAGGTAGGCACCTAACTACCTTTGAGGATCTGGGCTTGAGCATCTCTGGGCTCACATTTCCCCATCTATATAATAAAGATACTTACCTCCTTTGGTCACAGGGTTGTTGTAAGGGTTCATGGATTTTTTACATCAGTGGGGCTGAGTAAAATTAGGCACACGCTTTAAGCATTTGCTGGTTTGTGCCCTTGGTTTGTAAAGTGCTTTGAGTCCCTGGGTTGGAAGGTGCCATGCAACGTTTTTGATCTGCACATGATCGTTGCTTTAAAAACTTAAACCAATAAGTTCAAGATGAGCCATGAGAGTTGGCGAACTCTCACTGTGATGCACGGCAAGCTATTACGCACATCCCTTCCTCCCCACACCCGTTTATGTATTTGTTTGGGATGTTTTAACCGGTTTACAAATCCCTGCCAGGTCAGTATCAGAAACAAAACCAGCTGTGCAACAGAGCGCTTGTGTTTAAAGAGACATTACGTCACAAGCCAGTCATTGGGGCTCTCTGCTTACCAGGGTGTTACTGTATTGCAGAGTGAGCATTGCTGCAATACTGATCCTATTCTTCACCTCAGAGGGTTCTCAACCTGGGGGTACTCAGAGGTCTGCCAGGGAGTACATCAACTCATCCAGTGATTTGCCTACTTTTACAACAGGCTACAAAAAACCCACTAGAGAAGTCAGTACAAACTAAAATTTCATACAGACGACTGGTTTATCCTGCTCTATATACTGTACACTGAAATGTAAGTACAATATTTATATTGCAATTGATTTATATTATAATGATATGGTTAAAATGAGAAAGTCAGCAATTGTCCAGTGCTGTGACACTTTTGTATTTGTATTGTCAGCTTGTGTAAGCAAGTAGTTTTTAAGTGAGGTGAAATGTGGGGGTGGGGTAGGCAAGACAAATCATAGAATCATAGAATATCAGGGTTGGAAGGGACCTCAGGAGGTCATCTAGTCCAACCCCCTGCTCGAAGCAGAACCGATCCCCAACTACATCATCCCAGCCAGGGCTTTGTCAAGCCTGACCTTAAAAACCTCTAAGGAAGGAGATTCCATGGCCTCCGTAGGTGACCCACTGCAGTGCTTCACCACCCTCCTAGTGAAAAAGTTCTTCTGAACATCCAACCTAAACCTCCCCCACTGCAACTTGAGACCATTACTCCTTGTTGGCTCATCTGCGACCATTGAGAACAGTCTAGAGCCATCCTCTTTGGCGACCCCCTTTCAGGTAGTTGAAAGCAGCTATCAAATCCCCCCCGCTCATTCTTCTCTTCCGCAGACTAAACAATCCCAGTTCCCTCAGCCTCTCCTCCTAAATCATGTGTTCCAGTCCCCTAATCAGTTTTGTTGCCCTTCGCTGGACTCTCTCCAATTTTTCAGAGGACTCAAAGGGGTAAACTAGCCTGGAAAGGTGGAGAGCCGCTGCCCAGCGCGCTTGGGAAAGGCTGGGAGGCTGGAACACCCGGGGGCGAGGGGGCAGGGAGAGGACTCCACCCCAGAGCCGGGCGGGCGGAGGACTGTCCCTTTAAACGCCGGCTGGGGCGTGGGCCGGGCGCAGTGCGCATGAGTTCAGTGCCTGGCTGCTGGGCTGGGTGTCCCTGCCCGAGCGGGAGTCACGGCACCCGGGAGGGCTCCCCAACCAGTGCGGGGAGCCTGCACCTGCTCGGCTGGCGGACGGAGCGGGCTGGGCGGGCCAGGTGAGTGCGGGCGCTGGCCGGGCTGCGGGCCGGGGCGGGCTCCCTAGTGTCGGAGCGGGACGGAGCGGCCGGCCGGCGCTGGCAGGTCCCAGCTGGGTGCTCGGCGCTGTCTGGAGCTAGCAAGACGGGCTGGCGAGCGGCTCTGCTCTGGGGTTCCCGCAGGGCTGTGCGGGTAAGGGTCCCCGTGTGTCCATTAGCCTCCCTGTGTCCCTGCCTCGTCGCCCCTCCGATCTCATCCCGGATCTCCGCTGAAAACCGCCTTCCCCTGGATCTTCTCTTCCGCCCCCGCCGCCTCGGTCGGTGTCGCTGACCCGGGTGCTTTGGGAGCCCGTGGAGGAAAGAGGTGGCACCAAGGGGCTTCCTTGCCCCCAGCGCTGACTGACGCGCCGGCCAGCGGGCGATCTGCCTCCCCCCGCGCGTCAAACCGCAGGGACAAGACGACGGCTGCTGCGACTGACCCACTGACCCATATCCGAGGGGGCGAGAGCTGCCGGAGGTCTCCCCTGCCTTGGACTTGCCGCGCCGAGGGCTTTGCCTTTGCTCAGCCCCAAGCAGGTTTCGTAGGAAACTAGCCCACGTTTCTTTAAGCACCGCCTGGGAGGCTGCGGCTCTCCAAAGCCAAGCTCCTGGCTACCCTTTGCAAAGAGGGTTTTTTTTTTTTTTCTTTCTTTCTCCTGTTCAGTAGGCGGCTCCGTTGATGATGCGGTTGGCTTGTTTATCCCTAATGAGCTGGGGTGGGGGAATTAAGAAATGTGGGTGGGGGAATTAAGAAATGTAGCTATTGAGGTGCAGCTAACCAGAGCCAGGAAGACAAGCTCGTGTGCTCTGTATTTCTGCTTGCGTAATAATGTTTATAAGTGAGCTGTAGCTCAGGAAAGCTCATGCTCAAATAAATTGGTTAGTCTCCAAGGTGCCACAAGTCCTCCTTTTCTTTTTGTATATAGCCCTTGTGTATCCAAAGATCCTCCGAGTGCTTCCCCAATCTCTCAAGGGGGCTGTGTCTAACAGTTTGCATGCCCTCCCCCCTTTTTGGGGGGGGGGTATTGAAAATTTTCCCACCCATCGCTGCAAGTGGTTAGTATAGACAAGGCTGCAAGAAGTGGCTGTTGGGGTTTTAAACGCCCTGTCTTCTGAACTTGCTCAAAACAGGTCGACGTGATTCAGTGCAAGAGCGTTAGCCATGGGGGTGGAGGGATGAGCGAGCCTCATGCAACAGGGCACAAATACAAGTGAAGTAAGTGCTTGCGTGCACGGAGAAAACGATGCAGGAAAGCTAAGTGGTATTCATGTATTCATCCCAGTATGCTAAAGCTTGGTCTTAAGAACAGTTTTTCCTTTTTTTGTCCAGATGTGAGGAAAACTTAACTGAGCCCTGGTCTACATGACAAACTTCTGTCAGTATAATTACGTCATTCAGGGGTATGGAAAACCCACATCCCTGAGCCATGCAGTTATATTGACCTAACGCCTGGTGTAGACAGGGCTGCATCGACGGGAGGGCTTCTCCTGCGGACGTGGCTACTGCCTTTCGGGGAGGTGGAGTACCCATGTTGAAGAGAGAATTGCTCTCATCGGCATAGGTAGTGTCTTCCCTAAGCAGCACCGTGAGTGTAGACAAGCCCTGATGTCCTGCCAGAAGCAACGCATGGCAGCGTTTTTAAAAAAATGGTTAAATGACACTACGTGCCAGTGAAATGAATTTTTGGATGGGCAGGATTATATTCTAATCCAGTGGGTGTTGGGGAGAGGCTGACATCATCTCCTCATTTCCCCCCCCACACACACACACACTTTTTTTTTTTTTAGCCATTGAATCAGTGGAAAAATCTCAATTGACTTTAAAGGGAGCAGAATCAGGCCCTGATGTGCCAAGTACCCTTTGACTTTAGTGGGAGTCAGGATGGTTTGAGGGGAGGAGTATCTTTATATCAGCAAGCTGAAAAGCCATTTACTTGTGGTTGGGTTTATGTTGTAGAAAGCACAACTGCTGGTTTCTAACAAATATTTTAAAAGTCCATGGCAAACATGGAATTCTCTTTATAGTATTTATCATTTGTATTGCACCTAGAGGCCAGAACTAAGATCAGTGCCCCATTGTGCTAGGTGCTGTACATGTACTAACAGTTTACAGTCTAATTAGATGAGACAGCTGAAAAGGGAAACTGAGGCGGAGAAAGGTGAAGTGACTTGCCCAAGATCAAATTCCTCACTTAGGGTTTTTTTGGTGTCCACCCCCCCCCCCCACACACACACACACAATTGCAAAGCAATAGCAGTTAGGTACCAAAAATGCATAGCAGCTTTTTTGTGCAAGGAAGGGAAAGTGAGGGAAAGATTTTATTTTTTTCTTTTCCCTCAAACCGGCTTAAGAGAGAATAAGTCTTGGTCTTAAAAGCTTGTGTATTTTCTGACTTAGGCTATTAAACAGCATTATTTTAAGACTCTTGTACAGATCCCTGGCTAATGCAGGACTGCAGATGGGTGCTACTGTAGAAATGCAGCAATTTCTATGTAGAATAATCACTTCGCAAATCTTGTTATGTAAAATGGAACTACGTTAGTAGTCAAACGCTTGTGAAAATGTCTTATTATTACGCACGGATGAATCTGAAACCAATACTAGGTTCAGATCACTGGTCAGTAATAGACAAAATAGATATAGTACTGACTAGCGTTACAAGTAACATTTGAGTGGGGAGGGGGGGATTCTTCCTTTGTATCTCTGAATAGTCAGTTTCACTGTTCTCCCTGTATAGTCCGTGTGTTTTCCCTTCTTGCTTGTGTGGGCGCTGCGGAGAAAAATATTAACCAGGAATGCAGGCAGTGTAGTGAGCTGAGTGGGTATAGTTATCTGAAACCTTTTTTAAATGGACTATTTGAAGCTGACAGCGTCCCTCTAAGGACGGGAGCATGTGAATAAATGTTAATAGGAGGGAGCCTTAAGAAGCCAGCTGCAGTATCACATTCTACCAAAACTATTCACAAAAAGAAAAGGAGGATTTGTGGCACCTTAGAGACTAACCAATTTATTTAGTCTCCAAGGTGCCACAAGTCCTCCTTTTCTTTTTGCAGATACAGACTAACACGGCTGCTACTCTGAAACCTGTCAAAACTATTCTGTTATCAGAATGTATTTGACAATTTGGAATTCTTGTTTACGACTGGCTTCAGCTCCCAGCTAGGTTGTATTTTGCTTAAATAATCACTAAGGTTAAGATTTTTGTCATGACTATTTTTAGTAAAATTCACGGACAGGTCACAGGCAATAGACAAAAATTCACTGAAGCCCACAACCTGTCTGTGACTTTCTAGTAAAAATAACAGTGGTGGGAGGGACTGATAGGGGATAACTGAAGCCTGGAGGGATTGAGAGCCTGAGCCCTGCTCTCAATGGAAGGAGGGGAAGCCAGCACCCGCTGCCCTCAGGGGGCTTAGGGCTCTGGGGTCCCCCCGCCTCTTCTGGGGGCTCGGAGCTGCGAGGGTCCCCTGACACCCGTAGTGGCAGAGAGCTCCTGCACTGCCACCCCGGGGATGAAGCAGAAAATGTCACTGAGGTCTCTAAGTCATGGAATCCGTAACTTCTGTGATCTCTGTGACATCTTCTCCTTAATAATCACTGTTGATCCTTATGGCAGAAAAGCTCACAAAACAGGAACAAATCCTTAACACAGCCTGTTGCCTCCGGCAGATGATCCTTTGCATGTCTCCTGCCATTTGCCATAGCTCTTTCTGAGGCAAAGCAGCACTCTGACTTCTTTGCACTGCACATCTCTTCCTACACCCTCCCTACTAAGTTGCAACATTCACAGGAGATCGCAAACTCCGTTGTTAGACTGTGACGTAGCAATGCTGTAGTGGGCTTCATGGGTGTTGGGGACAAAAATTCTCATGCCTTCCTAAGTATGGTAGAAAGCTATTCACCTATGATCTGTACAGCAGTGGGATCAAAGTTATGGGACCCTGAACCCCAATGATGTTACACTTGTGACAAGACAGAAGCCGACTAATTAAAGAAAACCTGTACCTTGAATTGTTTGTATTCTGTGTGGTTCCAAAGCATAAGTGACTCTACTAAGCACCAAGTTATCAAGAGGAGAAATGCAAACTAATTAACTTTTAAAGTCCTTTAAAATTCCCCTCCTGGCAATTTGCATAAGAATGTTTAAAGTCTTGGGAGACTTTAGTCCTATGGCGTATTTAATACCTAATATAAAATAGGTCTAGACAGCCATTGGTGTTGTATCTAGTTCTTCCTTAAGTAGTCACAGGCCATCAAATCTCAACCATAGCTGAGCAGTGAGAGCCTTATCCTTATCCTCCTGTAAGAAGTTAATCTAAAGAAAAGTAACTGCTTGCCACTGGCTGAGGTTTTATTTTTAGGCGTGGTAGGGAGGGATTTTATTTCTGCAAACTCATGGGAACTAACAGCACTATTTAGAGATCTTTCTCTGGTTGTTTAACCTGGTATGTTGCATCTAGGCCTTTCCCAGTTGTTTTGTTTGTCTTAGGGTAGATAAAGGTGCTTTCATATGGCATGATGTGGCTAAAACATATTGATTCTGTAAGTTACAGCTGCAGTTATTCACAACTAGTAAGGCAAAGACTCAAACCAACTCGCTTCTCAACGTTGTTCTTATCAATTCTCTTGAACCTGTGCCTAATCTAGAAGGTGCTGAGCACCCCTGACTCCTGCTGAAGTGAGGATTAAGTCTGTAACCAGGATTTTACTGCATTCTGAACACCTGAGGGTCTTGGGGCGCTATTACCTGAGGGTCTTGGGGTGATATTTCCAAAACAGTAATGGCATGGAATGCAGTAAAGGTTTCTCATCTTGGGGGTGGTTTGGTTACCTTGCCTTAGAACTAGGTGGTTTAACAGTCTCCTATTGTTTGGCAAATATTTTCAAAAGTTTTCTTTCAACAACCACAAAAATAGCCTGCTCTTGAAAATCCAGAAAGACCAGTTAAGAAATAAAGACAACATCGAGCTGGCATCCTCAG